ACTGGAAACAAAGAGAGACAACTCAAACGATCATGATTTAATTCACCGTATTACAATGACTTAGAAGTCACAGTTTTAATTTGAAGCACATATACACAGAAGAAATGATCAAAGATTTATAGCACTTGTACATGTATAATTGGAAAAACTGTAATTTTAAGGAATCACTGTCTAGTTAGTATAGTAACCCAGGGTAGTCATGCATAAATTATCCCATGTTTCCCACTATCGTTGATGTCCCTGGCATACTATACTAACCAGGCAGTGATTCCTGATATTTCCATTTCATTGTGCAATAAAATTGTAGATTAAGATTTTAAAAATGTATAGAGGTAGATTTAAATTACACGAGGACTCCCATGCTACACATAATTTTAATAGTCTTCGCCCACTGACGTCAAACACAAAGGCAGCCGCACGAGATTTACATGCATATTTAGCCTCCTATGCGTCAGACACAGACAGATGCGTACGAGGTTTGCATGCATATCAAGCCTCCTTCGCCTCTGACCTATTGACCTGCCAAATTTACATTCCGGTAGAATTAACAAGAAATCAACTCTGCTAACTTTCGAAGATTATCACAGAGAAAAAAAAATAGAAATTGAAATATTTAAGGAATCACTGTCTAGCTAGAATAGTATGCCAGGGCATCAACGATAGTGGGGAATATGGGATCATTTGCATAATGGGAGAAGCTCGTTATGCGTAAATTATCCCATGTTTCCCACTATCCTGATGTCCCTGGCATACTATACTAACTAGACAGTGATTCCTTATACTGTAAACCAACTTATATTCGCGACGATTTTATTTTGCGATTAACTAAGGGTAAGTTAGCAGTTTGCAAAGATTAATTTTCGCGATCAAGATTTTTTGGGGAATGTTTTGATAGACACAGAGACTTAAAAGACCAGTTCGCGGCGAGAAATATTCGCGATGACGTTGCTCTCGCAAACCTCGCCAAAATTTCTCGCTCGCCAATAAAGTTGGTTTACAGTATTTCCATTTCATTGAGAAATAAATTGTAGATTTAGATTTTAAAAATGTAGATATTGATTAAAATTACATGAGGACTTCCATGCTAATTTCAATAGTCCTCGACCACTGACGTCAAACACAAAGGGACCTGCACGAGATTTACATGCATATTTGACCTCTTTAGCGTCAGACACAGAGACATATGTGCACGAGATTTGCATGCATATTAGGCCTCCTTAGCTCCTGAACTATCGACCTGCCTTATTTACGTTCCGGTAGAATTATCAAGAAATCAACTCCACTAACTTTCAAAGAGTTATCAGAGAGAAGAAATTAGAAAAGGATATATTAAGTCATTATCAGAAATTATGGGTCTCGTAAAAATACTAATAAAAGAGTAACCAGTTAGATATAAACGATTAAATAATTGCAGATGTTTGTAAACTGTAAACCAACTTTTATTCACGTGTGAACATTTTTAGCGAAGTTTGCGAGAGTCTTGTCATCGCGAATATTTCTCGCCGCGATCAACGGGTTATTGAAGGGTTTTTATCATGCATCATAATTTTTTGATATAACAAGGTTTATATACTATAAAAATCATCCATCAAATTTTTTTGGTTAGAAAATTAATATTTTTGGTGTTTCAGCGATTCAAAGTTTAAATTTCTCAATATGCATATTTTGATCGCCGATGTTGCGCGCCATTGCTCTGACGTCATAGGTGTCAGTCCTGGTCAAGCGAAGTACTTATTGTGTTTACAAAACGGCTCAATGGCTTCGTCTTAAAACCCTACTAGAAATTAAATAAATGATAATAATGATAATTGGTTATTTGATAAATAATTAGATATAATTTGTGGTGTTTGGATGAAAAATCAGCACAGGAAAGGTTTTAGGAATTTTTTTTACCTGCCATGGTCGGTGCGTGGATTTGTCTCCATTCAGAGCATTCGTTAATGTACGATCACAATTTTTTTCTGTATTATATAAAATATCTCTTTAATGGAAATAGTATTTTTCAAAAAATAATAATTTATCAATAGGCATTTTAAAAGTCCGGCACACACATCATGCACTATGTGTTGTGAAGTTCGTAATGGCGCACGGCGCCATTGAAGATCGAAGTGGCCTTTCTATCAAATGACGTTCATTGCTGGAACAGATAGAAGATACACAATATCTGTTCATGTATAATTTATTAAAATAACGAAAAAAGAAAACGTATAACGACCATTTTTTTTTTTATAAAACGTTAATAATTCAATCTATTCAGTCGAAGTCAGGAGTTGTCATTAACGGCTTCGTCTTCAATGCCCTATCCTCCTTTTACGGTATGTTTTTAGGTCACCTGAGTAAACTCAGTAAACTCAGGTGACCTATTGCTATCCGTTTTCGTCCGTCGTCGTCCGTCGTTCGTCGTCCGTCGTGTGTTAACATTTGAACATTTTCAGCTTCTTCTCTGCAACCACTGAACCAATTTCAACCAAATTTGGCACAAAGCATCTATGGGTAAAGGGGAACAAAAATTGTGAATTTTATGGTCCCTGCCCCCCTGGAGGGTGGGGCCCAAACCACTAAAATTAGTGCAATCGTTAAAAATCTTCTTCTTTACTCCGGGACATCAAGCAGTCAAACTGTTTGCATGATTGTAATCAGCATTGAGTCCTTTACCAAAATTGTGAAATTCATGGCCCTGGGGTCAGGGGTTCTAGTGCTAGGGCGGGGCTAAATAAGTATAAGTGAAAATGCATTATTTCTTTGGAAATCTTCTCTACTTCTGGGTATTAAATAAACCAACTAAGTACATAGTTATGATGAGCAAGAGTGCCTCTACCAAAATTGTGAATTTTATGGCCCCAGGGTCAGGGGTTCTGGTGTTAGGGCGGGGCTCTATTGATTATATATAGTGAAAATACATGATTTCTTTGAAAATCTTCTTCTCTGCCCCTGGGTATTAAATATACTAAATAAGTGTATAGTTATGATGAGCATGAGTGCCTCTACCAAAATTGTGAATTTTATGGCCCCAGGGTCAGGGGTTCTGGTGTTAGGGCGGGGCTCTATTGATGATATATAGTGAAAATACATGATTTCTTTGAAAATCTAAGTGCATAGTTATGTTGAGCATGAGTGCCTCTACCAAAATTGTGAATTTTATGGCCCCAGGGTCAAGGGTTCTGGTGTTGGGGGGGGGGGAAGGCTCTATTGATTATTTAGTGAAAATACACGAATTCTTTGAAAATCTTCTACTATGCTCCTAGGTGTTAAATAAACCAACTAAGTGCATAGTTATGATGAGCAAGAGTGCCTCAACCAAAATTGTGAATTTTATGGCTCAAGGGTTATGGCTCAAGGGTGTTAGGGCAGGGCTCTATAGATTATATATAGTAAAAATACATGAATTCTTTGAAAATCTTCTTCTCTGCTCGTAGGTATTAAATAAACTAACTAAGTGCATAGTTATGATGAGCAAGAGTGCTTTTACCAAAATTGTGAATTTTATGGTCCCAGGGTCAGGGTTTCTGGTGTTAGGGCAGGGCTCTATTGATTATATATTGAAAATACATGAATTCTTTGAAAATCTTCTCTGCTCCTAGGAATTAAATAAACTAAGTACATAGTTATGATGAGCAAGAATGCCTCTTTTAAAATTATGAATTTTATGGCCCCAGGGTCAGGGGTTCTGGTGTTAGGGGGGCGGGGCTCAATTGATTATATAATGAAAATACATTAAATCTTTGAAAATTTTTTTCTTTGTCTCTGGGTATAAAGCAGATGAACTACCTTTATAGTTATGATGAGCAAGGGCCCTAATCTTGCAGAATTGTGAATTTCAAAGCCCCAGGGTCAGGGTTGGGGTGGGGGCTCTACTTATATACTGAAAATGAATTTATTGTTTGAAATCTGCTCTTTTGTATTTATAAAACATTTATTTATTTTTTGATATTAAGGGTGCCTTTTTGAAATTTGTGCAACGTGTGGACCTAGGGTCAGGGGTTTATGTCACAGTGTTAGGGGCACTACTGGTTAGTTGGAATGCATTTTTGTTCCCCTACCCTGCATATGGGTATTCAGTAACCAAGCTAAGCAACTGCTAAGTGTATTGTTATGATGATCAATGGTGCCTCTTTCAAAATTGTGAATGTCATATAGCATCTGGCTTAAAACATGAATCAAATTCAATAACTGGAAAATTGTTGCATAATGCTCAGGTGACCTATAAGGCCCGTGGGCCTCTTGTTTGTTTATTTTTCTGTTGTAGAAGTTAATACATATAAGATTGAGCATCCACAGCCAAAGTTATATTGTCTATATTAACATTTCTTCCAACCTAGTGGTGTATTCTTTTTATTTCATGCAAATATCTAGTATACGATAGATGTTTCTTACGATACGCTTTACAAAGTCTAATTGCCCATTGACACCTATGACGTTTCAGTATCACGTGACCCCTATCTAATTAGTGGAGATTTTCAATCTGAAGATCCTACATTACGGACATATTATGGCTTAAATATGACAGTTTAAAACATTATTTTATAATTAAACGATAGTTATATGTTCCAAGAATATAATAGTGTTTAATTTTTAAGAAATTTCGATGCATGATAAAAACCCTTTAAAGTGTATGTGTCTATCAACAACAGTTCCGTAAAGGCTTGATCGCGAAAATTAATCATCGCAAACTAGTTTATCCATGGTAAATCGCGAAATAAAGTTGTTGCCAATAATAGTTGGTTTACAGTAACTTATGCAAGTTAATTAAGATTTTCCTTTGTGATCCCAATTGAAGATCAACTAAAATGCTTAAAAATACTAACATTGCTAATTCTATAGCCACCTGGGAATGAGCTGAATAGCTATTATTCTCATACATAGCATGAAAAAATTACGCGAGTGTGTTTATCTCTAATTTTACATGTTTAAATTTTAAGCTCGTAAGAATAAGCAGCACATAAAAATTCCTGTTATATGGAATTTAGATTTAAACCTATTTTTATATTTCTTGTTGATAGACAATTTCTGGACACGGGGAATAGTTCGTTTACGCAATGCATTGTCTACTCCCTATTTGGTACCGATTCCAGCCAATTCGAACCCTGAACCTGAAGGGGAGGAGATACAAGAAGAAAGGATGAAAAAGGTAGAAAAGAAAAGGAGGAAGGAAGATACAAGGGAAAGAAAAGGTATTGTTCATTTACCAAGATGATAAGTTTAGCTCACCTAAGCCAAAGGCTCAAGTGAGCTTTTCTGATCAAAATTTGTCCGTTGTGGTTATAAACTTTTTCCATTTATGTCCTTCTCAAGAACCAAAGAGCCGATTTCAACAAACTTGCCACAAAGTATCCTTAGGTGAAGGGCATTCAAGTTTGATCAAATGAAGGGCCACACCCTCTTCCAAGGGGAGATAATTATGAATTCTTGAAAAATTAATGACATACTTTCTTTTTCAAGAACCAGTGGACCAGGAAAGATGAAACTCATGTAGAAGCATCCTCAGGTAGTGTAGATTACACTTTCTTCAAATCATGACCTCCAGGTGTAGGATTGGGCCACAATAGGGTATCAAAGTTTAACATAGGAATTCATAGGAAAAGTCTTTAAAAATCTTCTTCTCAAGAACAACAAAGCCATGATTGGTCATAGTTTATAAATGGAAGTATCCTCTGGTAGTGTAGATTCAAATTTGTTCAAATCATGATCCCAGGGGTAGGGTGGGTCCACAGCTGGGTATCAAAGTTTAACATAGGAATTCATAGGAAAAGTCTTTAAAACTCTTCTTCTCAAGAACAACAAAGCCATGATTGGTCATAGTTTATAAATGGAAGTATCCTCTGGTAGTGTAGATTCAAATTTGTTCAAATCTTGACCCCGGCGGTAGGGTTGCGCCACAAATGGGTACAAAGTTTATTATAGGAATACACAGGAAAAATCTTTAAAAATTTTCTTCTCAAGAACAGCAAAGCCATGATTGGCCATAGTTAAAGGAAGTACTGTAAAACAACTTTTATCTCCAACGACTTTATTTCGCGATATACCGGGGGTAAAATAATTTGCGATGATTAATTTTCGCGATAAATCCTTTCTAGCTCACCTGAGCCGGAGACTCAAGTGAGCTATTCTGATCAAAATTTGTCCGTTGTCTGTCCTAAATTTTTCACATTTTCGTCTTCTTCTCAAGAAGCACTGGACCAATTTCAATCAAACTTGCCACAAAGTATCCTTGGGTAATGGGAATTCAAGTTCGTTCAAATGAAGGGCCAAGCCTTTTCCAAGGGGAGATAATTATGAATTAATGAAAAATTAATGGCATCTTTTGAAAATCTTCTTCTCAAGAACCGCTGGTCCAGGAAAGATGAAACTCGTGTGGAAGCATCCTCAGGTAGTGAAGATTTTGATCAAATCATGACCAAAGGGGTAGGAAGGGGCCATGATGGGGGGGGGGGTTCAAGGTTCAAAGCTTAACATAGGAATACATAGCGAAAGACTTTTAAAAATCTTCCTCTCAAGAAAACCAAAGCCATGAATGGTCATAGTTACCGGGGTACTGTAAGCCAACTTTTATTCGCAACGACTTTATTTTGCGATTTACCAGGAATAAACTAGTTTGCAACGATTGATTTTCGCGACCAGGCCTATTTTGGATCTGTTGTTTATAGGCATTTATACTTTAAAGACCAGTTCACGGCGAGAAATATTCGTGATGAGGAAGCTCTCGCGAACCTCCCGAAAGTTTCTCGCACCCGAATAAAAGTTGGTTTACAGTATATGGAAGCATCATCATGTTGTAAGATTCAAGTCTGTTTAAATTATTATCTCACTTGAAACCACTTTAATATTTAAATTTTTCAATACTCTCTGATTTTTGCTTTTAGTTTTACGTAGCCAAAGCTCAGGTGAGCGATGTTGCCCCTGGGAGTCTTGTTTAAATCTTTTGTTAATAGACAAAAAGATTTAAGGACAGGTTCGCGGCGAAATATATTCGCGATGACAAGGCTCTCGCGAACCTCGAGAATATTTCTCGGACGAAAATAAAAGCTGGTTTACACTATCCTCTGGTAGTGTAGATTCAAGTTTGTTCAAATCATGACCCCTAAAGGAAGTGTGGGGCCACTATTTGGGATCAAAGTTTAATAAAGAAATACATAGGAAACTCTTTAAGAAAAATCATCTCAAGAACAGCAAAGTCATGATATGTAATAGTTTATATGTTGAAGCATCCTTTTATAGTGTAGATTCAAGTTTGTTCAAATCATGACCCTGGGGCAAGGGTAGGGCCATAATGGGTGATCAAAGATTTATAAAAGGATTATATAGAAAAGTTCTACAAAATTCTTCTCGAGAACAGCTGAGTTTGATTATTCATATTGTTTATATGAAAGCTTTCTCGAGTATTGTAGATTCAAGTTTGTTCAAATAATGACCCGGGGTGGGGATGGGGCGTGGGGATGGGGGGGGGGTGAGTGGGGCCATTATGTGTGATCACGGTTTAACGAAGGAATACATTGGATAAATCGTGAAAATTCTTCACATTTCAAGAACAACAAATCCATTATTGATCATCAATAGAAAAGCATCGAAAAAGGTAATGTAGATTTAAATTTGCTCAAACCATAACCAACAAGGAGAATAGAGGAGGCATTAAAGTGGGTCATACAAAGGAATATAAAGGCTATATCAAAAAAAAAGTTTATCTTTTAAACAACAAAGCCGTTATGTATCATGTTAATTTAAAAAGCATTCATAGGAAGTTTAGATGTAAGATTCTTCAAATAAGGTCCCTCCCCTGACCCACTTTTACTAGTATGTTTAAACTTTTCAATACTGAACTAATTTTTAGATCACCTGAGTTTACTCAGGTGACCTATTGCTATTCGTTTTCGCCCGTCGTCGTGCGTTGTGCATCGTGCATTAACATTTGAACATTTTCAGCTTCTTCTCTGCAACCACTCAACCAATTTCAACCAAATTTAGCATAAAGCATCATTGGGTATAAATTTGAACAAAAATTGTGAATTTCATGGTCCTTGTCCCCCTAGGGAATGGGGTGTGGGGCCAAAACCACTAAAATTAATGCAATCTTTAAAAATCTTCTTTTTTACTCCTGGAAATCAACCAGTAAAACTTTTTGCATGATTGTCATCAGCGTTAAGTCTTCTACCACAATTGTGAAATTCATGGCCCTAGGGTCAGAGGTTCTGGTGTTAGGGCGGGGCTCTATTAATTATAAAGGGAAATTGCATAAATTCTTTGAAAATCTTCTTCTCTGCTCTTGGTTATTAAACAAACTAAACAAGTACATAATCATGTTGAATAAGAGTGCCTCTTCAAAATTATGAATTCAAGGCCCCAGGGTCAGGGGTTTTGATGTTAAGGCGGGGCTCTGTTGATCAGATGTTGATCATATAGTGAAAATATATTAATTCTTTAAAAATATTCTCTGCTTCTGAGTAGTAAACTAATGAACTATGTACATATTTATGATGATGAAGGATGTCTCTTCAAGATTTGTGAATTTCATGGCCCCAGGGTCAGGGTTTTTTGTGTTAGGTCGGGGCTCTAATGATTATTTAGTGGAAATGCATGAATTCTTCGAAAACAATTTCCTTTGCTTCGGGGTAGTATGCCAAAGTTCTAAGTATATATTGATGATGATGAAAGGTGCCTCTTCCAAAATGCTTAATTTGAAGGCCCCTTGGTCAGGGTACTTGGGGTAGGGTTTGGGGTTACATAGTCTGAAAATAAATTAATGCTTTGAAATCTCCTTTTTGGTATTAATAAACCATTTATTATGAAACACATTTTATGACAACATTTGCAGAATTTTGAAATCTGTGCACCCAGGGTCAGTGGTTCCTTGGATGGGGTGCACAACTGGATATAAAGTGGAAGTGCATTTTCTCTTTGTTACTCTGATCCACCTCTGGGTATTAAGTAAACAAAGTAAGTAAGCTAAATGCAACAGTGCCTCTTGACTTTCATGGCGTTTGATTGAAAACACGAACCAATTCAATTGTTGGAAAATTGTTACATACCATATGATACTCAGGTAACCTATAACGCCCGTGGGCCCCTTGTTAGGTCACCTGAGTAACTCAGGTGACCTATTGCTATCCGTTTTCGTCCGTCGTCGTCCGTCGTGTGTCGTGTGTTAACATTTGAACTGTTCAGCTTCTTCTCTGAAACGACTGAACCAATTTCAACCAAATTTAGTATACAGCATTTATGGGTAGAAGGGAACAAAAATTTTGAATTTCATGGTCCCCGCCCCCCTGGGGCCTGAGGGGTGGGGCCAAAACCACTAAAATTAATGCAATCTTTAAAAATCTTCTTTACTCCTGGACATCAAGCAGGCAAACTGTTGGCATGAATGTAATGAGCATTGAGTCCTCTACCAAAATTGTGAAATTCATGGCCCCAGGGTCAGGGGTTCTAGTGCTAGGGCGGGACTCTAAAGATTATATTGTGAAAATACATTATTTCTTTGAAAATCTTCTTCTCTGCTCCTGGGTATTAAATAAACTAACCAAGCACATAGTTATGATGAGCAAGGGTGCCTCTTCCAGATTTGTGAATTTTATGGCCCCAGGGTCAGGGGTTCTGGTGTTAGGGCGGGGCTCTATAGATTATATAGTGAAAATGCATTAGTTCTTTGAAAATCTTCTTCTCTGTTCCTGGGTATTAAATAAACTAACTAAGCACATAGTTATAATGAGCAAGAGTGCCTCTTCCAGATTTATGAATTTTTTGGCCCCAGGGTCAGGGGTTCTGGTGTTAGGGCGGGGCTCTATAGATTATATAGTGAAAATGCAATATATCTATGAAAAAAATCTACTCAACTCCTGGGTATTAAATAAACTAACTAAGCACATAGTTATGATGAGCGAGAGTGCCTCTTCCAAAATTGTCAATTTTATGGCCCCAGGGTCAGGGGTTCTGGTGTTAGGGCGGGGCTCTATAGATTATATAGTGAAAATGCATTATTTCTTTGAAAATCTTCTTCTCTGTTCCTGGGTATTAAATAAACTAAGTAAGCACATAGTTATGATGAGCTAGAGTGCCTCTTCCAAAATTGTGAATTTCATGGCCCCAGTGTCAGGGTTCTGGTGTTAGGGCGGGGCTCTATTGATTATATAGTGAAGATGCATTATTTTTTTTGAAAATCTTCTTCTCTGCTCCTGGGTAT